GTGTTACCTTTCAGAAAAGTATGGATGCCATAAATTAACAGAGACCGCCACGTTGGGTAAATTTTTTGAAACGATAGAGAGGCATGGGTTTCTTAGTCCCCGATCTGATTTCCAAAAGGGCTCTAGAAAAGGGGTTTTGTTGTCCGGTACTTTCCCACATAAAATGATTGTACCGTTTGAAAGAACAGACTTCCCTCTTAAAGAAAACACCTCTTCTATTGATGTAAACAGGGGCAAAAGGCACCAAAACGGGGTTAGACAAGGTGGCATTCTGAAGTCTCACTTTCTTGTCATCACGATTCCAGGTAAACCATTAGACGGATTTACTTCAAATTTTCACACATGTTACATGGTAAGAAGTTCTAGAGCTGATTAACTTTGCAGCGGCCATCTTGCATTCTGGTGGCCATCTTGGAATTTTTTTCAGATAAATATTGTCATCGCGATTCCACAAAAACCACATGACAGATGTACTTCAAATGTTCACACATGTAACATGGTAAAAAGTCCTAGACCTCATTATTTTTTCGGTGGCCATCTTGCATTCTGGCAGCCATCTTGGAAGTTTAAAGATAAATCTTGTCATCACGATTTCAGGAAAACCAAATGGATTTACTTCAAATTTTCACACATATTACATGGTAAGAAGTTCTAGAGCTAATTAACCTTTCGGTGGCCATCTTGCATTCTGGCGGCCATCTTGGAAGTTTTTTGGATAAATCTTGTCATTGTGATTCCAGGAAAACCACTTTACTGATTTTCTTGAAATTTTTACACATGTTACAAGGAAGGTTACATGCTACCTTTTATATTGATATAAACAGGGGCAAAAGGCAGTAAAGTGGGGTTACACAAGGTGGTATTCTAAGGAGAATGTTATCTATTTTTCTGTATTTTAAACCACATAATTTGACATATATGCATATTTGGTGTATGATATCATGTTTTATATTGATAGAAACATGGGCAAGAGGCGCTACAATGGGGTAACACATGGTGATATTCTAAGATACATATTTTTACTCTGCTTCTGTACTTTATACCACTTAAATGCATTTTGTGTATGACATCGATTGATTTTTAGAATAAATAACTACATTTCATCAAAAAGAAAAAAGATTATTGAAAACTTCAAACATTTCTTTGAAATCCATTATTGCACAGTGATTTTTGAGAGCGAAATGTATGCTAAATTGGCCTTGATCTGAATTCTCCCAAACGATGGGGATGGTTTCCAACTCCATTATTTTGGAAAAATAATACTTTGTTGTAAATTCTGATTTATTTCAACGGAATTAAAGCTCTTTTAAACGAAAATGTAAATGTGTGGAAAACCTTTCACTGTGCATCATGTCAAAGAAATGTTCTTCATGCCGTTGAATTATCTTCTGGACAGGTGATCACACAGAAGGAGAGACCTGCGTATCATATCCTTACTAAATATAAACAAAAATGACAAATGAGAAAGGAAAAAAGTGTAAAGCAACCTAGTGGGAAAAGCAAACTGTAAAGTGTAAAACTGGCAAACAAAAATCAAACCTGAATATCCCAAGACAATAATCTAATATGGGAATAAACAGCATCCACACCGTTCAATGACCAATTCCTCATCAACGACCACAACTCCGAGGGACATTCCATTCATACTGAAGTCATTAAAATACATGTTGAAGAAAAATTGAAAATAATGATATCCAATACTCATAAGATTAAAAAATAGTTGTAGATACTATAGTACTCATAAAAGCTGCAGATAACGTTTCTTCATCGGGAAAGCAAGCTGTCTCTTAGTCAGATATTAACTAACGAGCTGGTTCAGAGCACCAGCATGTCAAACTATGTGAATGGGCTCTGTATCCACAATGTTGCGAGTTCGAGACACATGTGCTCTTTGCGTTTAATAATCAACAAAAATCACTTAAACCTGCACTAAAACTGTGTGTCAGATCGATATAAGTATAGGGTTTGGAAACTAAATTGTACCAACAAAAAGAACTTAAAAACACTGCTACAATATCAACATATGGTGGTGACATAAAAATAATGTATAGAAAAATCTACTGAACCAAAATAAACTTTGTGATAGAAGAACTGATTGTTTGCTCTAAGTTTTCAACTAAATATATTTATAATAAGCAATGTTTTATCGAAAAGAAAAAATAATTTCGTGTTATATAAAATCAAATAAATTAATTATATTTTTTTTCGTTGTGTTAGTTACACCAGTAATAATAAACCTGTTTATAAAGTGGTGTTAACTAGACTATATAATTTAACAGTCATAAAAGTAATAATAAACCTGTTTATAAAGTGGTCTTAACAAGACTATAGAATTTAACAGTCATAAAACCTAAAAAAATATACCAGGAAGGGACCATTGTGAATGTAAATGTATAAAGCATGGATGCCATAGGAAACGGAACAAAAGTTATAACAGAACCTAGCATGGAGAAAGTGTAACTGGTAAATTGTAATAAAAATAGTATAGATCATGATCTAACATGACATAGTATGCCTTACAACTCATCCTCCCTAACATTATTAAAGACTACAAAAGAGTATATTATAGTGATTCACTCGATTATGCTGGTTACCTAAACGCTTTGTTTCGGTAACAAAATGTGGGAACATCGAAGGTATGATTTTTCCTTTCATACTTTGTAGGCAGAATTCCCACGACATTTTTTCTCACAAACGTGTATCAGTATCTGTTAAAGAAAATGTGCAGATTTGCAAACAAATAGTTCAGAAGACAACATAATCGTACATTTAATTCCTCACTTAAGTTACATAAACGGTATTTCGAAAAAACAGTTCAGATCTGCACTTTTAACCCAAACCTTTATGTAACTTAAGTTAGGAATTAAATCGACGATTCTGTCATCTTCTGAGCTATTTTTTGCAAACATGTTCATTTTCTAAGACATATGATACTGATTCACGTTTGTGAGAAAAAAACGTCGAGAGGATTCTGACAAAAAAAGTGCTGATGGGTTGGACAGTTCTCACACACACCTTTGCGGCACTTACATGAACTTCCACAAATGAGATCCTGTTTCTTACAACTACATCTCATTGAGTCACACGCTCCTTTACAACTACAAGCAACAAGCTCCATTATTTCTTGTGGGGCAGGACTGTTTTCTATCCACTTAATTTGTAGTTTATTCCCTTTGAATGTCCAACCATGTAATGTGGGGGATTGATAATCAATCATTGATTTGCCTGCGTTTCGCCAAATATAGGCCTGATAGTTGGCTCTATTTATATGGAGAATGAGAGCATCCTTTGTTGGTGGTAAATGCTTTGACTGTATTTTATATTTATCTACAAACTTCCAAGATGGCCGCCAGAATGCAAGATGGCTATCGGAAAGTTAATCAGCTCTATAACTTCTTACCATGTAACATGTGTGAAAATTTGAAGTAAAACTGTTACGTGGTTTTCATGGAATCATGATGACAAGATTTATCTAAAAACTTCCAAGATGGCTGACGGAATGCAACATGGCCACCGAAAAGATAGTCAGCTCTAGAACTTCATACCATGTAACATGTGTGAAAATTCGAAGTAAAACTGTGAAGTGGTTTTTCTGGAATCTTGATTACAAGATTTATCTATAAACCTTCCAAAATGGCCGCCAGAATGCAAGATGGCTACTGAAAAGTTATTCAGCTCTAGAACTTCATACCATGTAACATGTGTGAAAATTTGAAATTAATCTGTTAGGTTGTTTTCCTGGAATTACGATGACAAGATTTATCCCAAAATTTCCAAGATGGCCGCCAGAATGCAAGATGGCTGCCGAAAAGTTATTCACCTCTATATTTTCTTACCATGTAACATGTGTGGAAATTTGAAGTAAATCAGTTTGGATTTCCTGAAATTGTGATGACAAGATTTACCTTAAAACTTCCAAGATGGCTGCCAGAATGCAAGATGGCCACCGAAAAAATAATGAGGTCTAGGACATTTTTTACCATGTAACATGTGTGAACATTTGAAGTACATCTGTTAAGTGGTTTTTGTGGAATCGCGATGACAATATTATCTCAAGATGGCCGCCGGAATGCAAGATGGCCGCCGCAAAGTTAATCAGCTCTCAAGGAGGATTGGCTCCCAGGATCGAAACTCGATATTTTCCAACAATGAAAACGTCGAAATGTCGTTATTTTCTGAAATTAAAACCGACTATAAATTCAAAATAAACAGTTCAAAAGATTCGAACCAATATCTCGATCATTTCTTGTGAGTTTTGGAATTTTTCGTTTGGAAATAAGACCAAAATTCACGATTTAAATGTTGAAGTGAACAAAATGGCGGCTGTTTGAATTCGAATTTTGTATTACGACATACCCATATATGGGACAGAATATCGGTGGTGCACTCTGGGAGCCAATCCTCCTTGTCAGCTCTAGAACTTCTTACCATGTAACATGTGTGAAAATTTGAAGTAAATCCGTCTGATGGTTTACCTGGAATCGAGATGACAAGAAAGTGAGATATCAGAATGCCACCTTGTCTAACCCCGTTTTGGTGCCTTTTGCCCCTGTTTACATCAATAGAAGAGGTGTTTTCTTTAAGAGGGAAGTCTGTTCTTTCAAACGGTATAATCATTTCATGTGGGAAAGTACCGGACAACAAAACTTTTTTTCAGAGGGTCCAGATCAGGGACTATCTAACTATCTAAAAGGTTGTGTATATCAAGCCGCACGCATAATAAGATAGTTGTTTTCAATGCTGAAAAAAGCTAGGAAGTGCAGAGCTAGGTTGGTGGCTCGAATCCCAGACACCCAATTTGTATGCCAGAGAATTTTAATAAAAATAATACACACTTCATCGTAAAGTAATTTTTAGTCCTCGGTAGGTACAGCCACCTTAATACAAACATCCTATACAGGCAAAGGTGGTTTTTAATCTTAACTTTGTAATAATTTCAATACTTTAATTGGTCAGTATGACACTTTAACACTAGGCTACTTGAAAATCATATATATTACAGCTGAACCGACAACATTTAGTGCTTTATCGTTTCTATCCGAAGCAGTAAGTCTATCAAACCCTAACAAAAGCACTGTCAAAGGACCACAGTGTGATACAATAAAAATACATTCATATTTTGAATGCAAAGCGTTTGTATGTTTGAAAAATTATCATGGCTTATATCACTGCCTAGGACTATGAATGTATATTGCTTTTAGAATACAATTACATTAATTAAAAGAATCACAGCATAGGGCAATGGTTAAGATTCTAGTCATCGGAGCAGGAGCTGTGGGGCTCTCAACTGCAGTGTGTATGCAACGGTCGATAGATGGAGCTAATATGACTATCTTCGCGGAAAAGTTCGGGGTTGATACGACGAGTGATGGAGCAGCGGGGATATTCCGCCCCTTACCCCCGGATATACCGGATGACATGATAAGGTGCGTATTATGCCCAGGGTATTAATAATGTTACTTGTGTGGGAAGTCAACTTGTCTGGGCTACCTAAATATCCAGACTCAATTCCGAGTTCACTTTTAACAGATTTGAAAATTCACAAGACCACAAGAGAGGATGCTCAAATATGGTTGCAGAACAAAACGTATGCCAATTTTTGCTAATATACATGTATTCAATACTTGATTACAGCAAGATTAGGAAGTAGTGTCTTTACATTCATCAAACTTACTAAGACTTCAGTATCTCACAAAAAGCAAAAAAGGTCACAAATGAATATTGTGTTTTATCAAGGCGGACACAGGAGTAAATACCTTTCAGATCTGTTTCACTTTTAGGCCTTGGTTAGCAGAGTCATGGAAATATTACGACTCTATCGCATCATCTGGAGAAGGAAGTATAGCTGGGGTATTCCCTGTGTCTGGATATGACCTTTATCCAGAAAAATCACCAATTGTATGTATTATATTATTTATGTACTTGCACAACATACACTGTAATATAAACTATTATCTCCCTGTTTACTGTTTGAACAATTAAAAATACTAAAATAAAAAAGTAAAACTAGTTATCTTATTTAATCAACGTACATAGTACATGTCACGTTTGAACATATACAGGGTACTTTTATCTATTGACTTTTGACCGTTCACCTTTTATTGACCTTAGTGTCAAATATGAAACATACTTTTGCCTGCACCCAACAGTTTAAATCAAGAGATATCCCGTTGATAATTTTTCTGCGATAATATATTATATTGCGTATATATAAGGGTCGTGTACCAACTCAGAGGTACTTGGAGGTTTTGGATATGGGGTATATCCAGAGGGAGATATGCATATCTACCCGAGGATCCGTAGGGGTCGAAGGTTGATGTGAATAACTCACGGGGGATACACCTCATATCCAAACCGACCGTACATAACTCCTTTATCCTACCCAGTGGAGTTTTCTTATTTTTTCTATCTTTTCAACATTTTTTCTAATTTTTCTTATTTTCTCACATCTTTTCAAAACGGTTTTATGGCGTCAGATATCGAGGTTCTGGATATGGAAACCTCAAAATCAGGATACGGGATATCTTACCAATTTATCTCCCTAAAACTCAACTTGGCACAGGATAAATATAGTGGTATTGAAACCAATGGAAGCAATGAGGGGTGGGGGTTGGGTTTTCAAAATATTTTGAAGGTAATATACATGTATTCATATCGTGGAGTGCCATCATATTCCAGCCTCCTGCCTATCGGGACTATGTCTACCACTATCGTCCGTGTACGAAAAGAGAACTCCAAGTGCAGTTCAACAACAAATACAAGGCCGGGTTTTTCATATCAACATTAATGGTGGAAGGCCGAAAATACCTGCCATGGCTGACAAAACAGTTTCTGGGAGAAGGTGGAAAAATACAAGCCATCAAAGTTAAGAGCCTTGCTGATATTGACTCGTCGTTTGATGTGATTGTTAACTGCTCTGGTTCAGGGAGTTTTGAATTGGTTGATGACAAAAACATGTATCCCATACAAGGGCAACTGACCAGAGTAAGTGACGTGATACGAACAAAAGCTCGAGTGGCCAGATTACCACAATTTACCATTACTCATTCTTTACATGGTCTACATCTATCAGTTTTGTACAAATAGTGCACAAATATATCTCGATTATTGAAGCCTTCAAAATTCCATACCATATTGAATTACCTTAAAAGAAGAACTAGTTATAATTTGTGAATAGTGAGTAGATCAATTGCACACGCTGCTTTGCTTCATATCCTTTATCATGCCATTTGGAAAAATGGCCATCTTTCATTTTGGGCATGACGATCTCGTACTACACAGTAAATTCAAAGCTGAACTCGTGTGTACGTGCGGTCCAGTTTATTACAGGTCCATACGATCATCACTGATAAACATCACGCTAAAATATCTGAAATATCTCCAGGTAAAGGCAGACTGGGTGAAACATTTCTACTACGACGTGGAGAATAGCACATATATCGTACCAGGGTAGGATTTAATACAAAATTATAAATACTGAGATTAGTTAGACCTCCTAGCGTACTTTGTAAATGGAAATAATTCCAGATCGTTGATCTGGGCAGAAAGTATCTTGCAAACATTTTCTAGCCATGGTATATAATGTATGTGATACCGTACTGATAGTTCACGTGCATTTTGAATTCAACGTTGCATGATATATAGGAATGAAAAAATCTGAAAGGAGCTACATCAAAACTAAAAATCATTAATTACAAACAGGGAAGTATAGCTTTCTGATGGAATGTCAGAGTAAGCTGGAATATGTGTGAATACTATCATTATTTTAGCTAGAAAGGAACTGATAGAAGGTGTAACCATCTCGAAAGAATATGTCTAATGGTTTTTGTATTCATTGCATTTAAGAGCTAACAACGTTGTACTTGGAGGAACCAAGGTTGTAGGGGACGCATCAACGGTAGCCAACTCTGAAACAAGAGAACAAGTCTTTACTCGCTGCTGCCAGCTATTGCCAAGTTTAAAAGTGAGTAAGAGCGACATATTCCAATATCTGCCTATTTGTCATCATCGAATATAAAATAGGGAAAGGGGGAGGGGTTTGTGTTTCAAAGCCATCCTTGGTCCAAGGGTATTTCAATTCTCTCAATAGCTGTGATAGAAGCGAGGTCCGATCTTAAAGGGGCAACAAGGCCTGTAGAGAGAAAATAGAAGATTTTAACTTTTTCTGAGCTATCAAGACAACATTTGGCTAAACATCTTCTTTGACATACCTATTTTCTTAAAACGTATGGATCAACTATCCATTTCAGCATTAAGAAGTATAAATTCAGTTCAAAGCTTCAAAAAGGGGAAATCCACTTTTATATTTTTAAGATCCACCATGTTTCAAGAGGAATATCAGCTGAAATAATGTTTATCTAAGGGGTTTCTTTGTAGATAATAAAAATTGACGTACGTCTATGGTGTTTAAACTGCTTCTTTATTCGGTACATTCAAAATTCCATAAATACCAAATAAAACAAACAATTTACCAAACCTTTACCCAATCTATCGAATGTTTTTTATTTTATCGAATGTAATAATCTATACAATTTATATTCGCTAAATCGTTTCACTTGTTCTTTGTGTTGGCATTTACATTTGATATTTATACACAGTGTACATGTATTTGTGTGATGCAGCGAATCTATTTGTTTTCCTCAACGCACGTATGATTTAATTAATTATTTGTACATTCGGTATTTACATTATTTATATTCGGTAAATACCGAATGCCACATTCGATAAATTTCGTTATTATTCGATACTTTACTAGACTTTCAGTCACGTGATATATTTGAACGATGTAGAATAGCTGCGCGGCTTGCAAATCTCGAGGTCACGTGACAAAATATCGAACAACAACGAAAGTTATCGAATATTACTTTATTGCATTCGGTAAATAGCAAATTAGCTTTCGGTAAATGCATCAACTATGTCATAGAAAAATAAACCATATGGTAAATATAGGCAAACTTATTTCGGTAGGGTTCAAATAGAAATTCAATATTGTGCCTATAATGTGTTACTCTGAAGGAATACCATAACAATTTACGCAAAAATATATCATTTAGCGAATGAAATATGTAATTTAATGCACATGGTATTAAGTGATTGGCTGTTTTGAAACATTTTTTTGCTGTAACAAACATATAAACGTTTATACCGAATGGAAAAATGATTTAGCGAATATTAATATTTCCTATACAGAATATATTTGAATTTAATGCCATATACGTCTTGATGAAATATCCAAACTTAAATATATTTTGACACTAGTCCATGATAATTGAATGCACTAATTGTTGCAACTTTAAATGGATGTATCAGATAGATTTACACCATTTTAAACAGCAGTATTAATCTGTTTCTAGTTTTCTGATGAATGTCTGTCCTCTATTATTGCAGGAAGCTACTTTCCTATGGGACTGGGTAGGGATCAGACCCGGAAGGGTGATTAACCCACGAGTAGAGGCTGGAATAGAGACCATAAACCACAAACGACGGATGGTTAGTTGTATTAAGTTATGAGCATTGTTCATTTTATTCTAGTGCTCGTGAAACTGTTTTAATTCTGAACGTGGCGTATTTTGTGTAACAATTGATAATTTAATAGACATACAACAGTGTATCCTTACGTACGAGTAAAGTTTACTTGTGAGTGTGAGAGTAAATGAATAATTCATCCTTCATGTATGTATATTGTTGATGTTTTACACTTATTTGATCGAATTGTATACATATATGGTTTAAGGTCTTTATTTAGTGAATGGTGCTGCATTTTGTTGTTCGTTCTCTTCAAGGTTGTCCATAACTATGGTCACGCTGCAGATGGTGTGGCACTTAGCTGGGGCACAGCAGTCCAAGCAACCAAACTACTCAAGCAACTGTTGAATGAACAGACCTCGATTGTTTGTGCAAAACTGTAGCCCAATTCAACATCCACTTGGTCATATCTTAAACCACGAAGGCATTTCATTACTCTGATTACAATGCAGTATAATACAAGCCGATAAATATTATGTACGTGATATGATATGATATTTAATGTATGTACATATGATATGATGTATGCAAATATATGTGAAAGCTAAGAAGGTCAATGGTAAAAGCAATTCAGAATTAAATGACTTGCTCATTTGACACTGATAATGGCAATAATGAAATGAACTTCACATTTTCAAGGTGTGTCCGATTCCAGCCAATTTAGAATACAGTAATTCATACAATTGCAGTCCATTATATAACCAATCACCACATCCAAGGTCATTCCTTGAATGGTTGTCAAGATGACAACTTGACTCTACAGATTGAAGTTGATGCTTTGCCAACTTTACCTTTTCATTGAAAATATGTTGTTTTAGTGATTTCGAATCGTTTAAGTGATGAGGTACAAACAATTTTGAAAAGTGTGGAAGATTTTAAGCCCGAGACTCAATGCATTGTGGAATGCTGCTGCGCATCTCGTGCAAATTTTGGAAAGCAACACCTTCAAGGAATGGTCATTCCACATTGAGTCCAAACTCAATCTGGGAAATAGTGCCACTGAAATAACTTATTACAATTATAGCGATGAACAATTGTACCGAATATCTCATCATATGAATGAAATAGTCAACATTACTGATTGTCTGATTTTGAACATCTTTAATAGTGAACATCTTGTTTAAGTGAATAGCTTTTTAGATTGATTTGAATATTTTTGTAAACTAGCGTTTGTTGAGAAACTGTTGAAATAAGTGAATACTTTTTTGTTAATGATGAATTAGAAGAATATCCTTAACTAGAATAATTTTATTGGAAATAATATGCATAAAATATACTTGTTTAATTATAGTTTTTAAAGATTTATACATCGAAGGCAAAACGATATAGATCATAGAATATACAAACGGAAAACGATTTATATCGTTTTGCCTTCGATGGTATGTTTTTCTTAATGCTGCTTATAATTTTTTTAGATGTTTCTTTTTCTTGCAGTGTTTTGTAATACTACATATATCTAGTTATTATTAACACCCATGCATTCCACAGCAGATCAAGTGGCATACATTTAAACGTCTAGTTGGACACAAGAGGTTGTTGGACACTATTACAGAAAAATATCTCAGTATGTTCGCTCTCTATGATATTAATTTAATTGATGACTATTACTTGAAATCCGATCATAAGTTCGACTCCCTTAATAACCATGTCTTGACGTAATTGTTATGAGCAAACGTAGTGTTAATCAGATTTATGCTATTGTATCATACACCACGCACTCGAAGTCATCTACAATTCCTATTATTTTCCAAAGGCTATTTGAAAAACAAGAATTGCGTGTCTTTTACGACCAAACTTGTAATATTTTAGAACAAACACTGCAAAGGTGACACTTATATTTTCAGTATTGTAGTGTAAAATTTCGTCCCGAATGCCGTTATAGTAGTCCGATTGAGAACGTTTAGAGTCAGTGAATTTGAATATAGGTTTCAAATCTGACTCAATGCACCAGTAGACCCTGTATTGTATTGTGAATATGTATTGTATTGTGTCGTATTATGTTGTGTTATGTTGTATTATATTAGGTTGTGTTGTGTTGTATTGCAATTGTGTTGTGTTGTATTGTATTGTATTGTATTGAATTGCATCGTATTGTACAGTATTGAATTGTGAATATTGAAAAGTATTGTATTGTATTGTATTGAACGTGCATCAAGTATTTTTTGTCCGAAAAAATGAGGGTCGAAACCAGATCATAAAAAACAAAAACAACATCCAGGAATCGCTAGTATATGATAAATATACTTCTCGTTTATCTCGGCAACTGGTTTTCCCTGTATGAGGGCATCCACCAGAAGATTGCTATTATCGTTGTTTATAACGACGAGGGAAGACCCGTGAAATCCTGAACTATTTTAAAACGAACGACCAAAGATGACACCTGGGTGTGTTCATATACGTAGATAAAGGATCATTTCTAAGCTCCCGTGACAGCAATTGTTCTACTTTGAGGTGATAGTGGTATGGAAATATCGCTCATATTAACAAAGTGGCAAATATCGTTAAGTTCAGAAATCACGATTCGACAGAAAAGAGACGGCATTAATTAATTCTAGTAACAATTACCAGGTCAAACAGGCGTTTGTACAATTACTTACAACGGTAATTGTTACACCTGGTATAATTGCGATATTTGGCATAGACATAGACCTCCCATATCATTCAAAAATCAAAATAGTTCACAGTCTGATATGAGCAAATGATTGCAATTATTACACCATCCGTTGAAATACTCGATTCTGATTGGACATAGAGCGGTCTATATTTTTGACTAGTGACCGCGCAAATATTGCCGGTTATTAGTGTTGACGTTAGATGCCGAATGGTAAAGCAAGGGCAAACGTTGATTTGATGCGCACGAGTCTTCTATATAGTTGTTGGAGTGAGTTAGCCACACTCGATATGCAATTCGGAGTACTACAAATCAATTATTGCCACCTCCATTCAATTGTTAAACTTACCGCGTGACACAAAAATGACACTCGCCCACATAATGTTTCGTAACTTTTTTGTCTGAAGAAAATTCTGACTTGTTTTTAGCACATAAAAACTCCATTTTGCAACTCCACAGGACGTTTCAGATGACTAGCTCACCTGAAATTATCAACGACAACTACATTATTTTGTGTTTAATTGAATGGAATTCATTATTTCCCTGAAAGTACGAGCCAAATTCATTAGTATTTACAAATTTATGTTACAAAAGCCGAGTGGCATTTTTGTGTACAATCCATGTGTGTCTGCAAAGGAATGGATGACATTAAGAGCAAATTCTGCAACGCTCATAAAACTTGACTCCATCGCATAACAGCATATGCAATAAAATCTACATGTAAATTTTGATCAAGAATATTCACTTTAGATTTTTTCCTCAATATTAAGATTGAGTAACCTTAACATTCCAAAATATTGTATGCATAGAACGAATGTTTTTAAAGTTGAGTGTACCCTCTTCAATTTTCTTTAATTTCCCAAGCTTCATCCTCAATAAGCACTCTAAAGTCACGGTATCGCACGGTACATTAAAAAATGGTACCGTCCGGTTTCGTTGGAGTATTATAGTGCTGTACAGTGTTCACGGTACCGTACGGCATCGTTTTAGTCTATGGTATCGTATGGTTCCATATTTCACGGTATCGCACAGTACCATTGCCAAAACGGTACCGCATGGTAGTGTTGCAGATTGGATGTGTATTTTGATCAAAATATGTAATATAAGCGATGCGCATTGCAGGCTGATTATGATATCCTTGATTGGGTATATCTTATAGTCACAGTCAGAGGGGGTACCACTTTAATTGCAGATAATTACTCATTGGGTTTATCCTAGCTGTATTGTGCACGATGTAGAAAGACATGTAGCTACTGTATCAATCTCATCTTCAAATAAAATATCATTGATATAAATTCCCCTGGCCTGACCATTGTTAAGATGTTACTCAAAGCAGATACCTAAGCGTAAAATTGGCGAGTGGGCGAGGACGTAACCGTATTGAAATATCGAGGCTTAGGACTGGTAAGCAGTCTGGGATAATTCTGCGTGATGACACGGCACACAGAGTGACAACGACGTTAATTGAAGATCTAAGGGAGTTAGGATGAGTTGGAATTTCCTGCTATCACATTGGACTTCAATGACGATTATTGCCATATCAATATTTTTCCCGATTCAATGTAAGTATCCAACAAAATCTATTCTTAGTGTTTTGCAAGCACAAAGGGTAACATTTGATAGCACGTAAGTCATTATAAATTGTATTAGATATATCAATGGACCGGTGAATGATTATATCTTTATATTGAAACCCTTAAATGATAAACAGTATATGCCTTTTTTATTCTTGAAGGCATTTGTTTGAATGTGTTAAGTGATAATATGTAAAGAATAATCATTGAAACCATCGCGATTATAATCCACTTCGAGTTCCACAATCAATAGGGAACCCTACAAACGGCTTAAAAGTTCGATGTCAGCTGCTAACCCCAATAAAGTTAAAACCGAGTCGTTAGTAATATTGAACAAATGTTGTAAAACGGTGATGCAACGAAAATTGTTTCAAAATCAAATCAAATAGAATCTTGCTATAATAAAATACAAGAATTTCCATTAGTTCCATTAAATTGTCAATTTTGAGCTGAATGAAACATAAGAAGAAATTAGAGATTAAACTGCATTAGTCTAAGCAGAATTGTCCATTATCATTGTTTTAGGATTTTGCAGTCTTAAGATATTGACGTGACTTTTTGACAATATGGTACCCCTCACGGGTTGGGATCGAACGATTTAATCGCCGTGGTACATTTTAGATTGTTAGTACCTCAGTGTAAATACTCGCATCTTATTGGTCTATAAGCGGTCAACATTTTTGCAATCATTGTATATTATAAGTCGAGTATCATACTCTAAAATATACCATTTTATTTTTCAACTTTCTAATGGCACGGTATATTGACATTGCATACAGGGTCTTTCAGAAAAGATGTTACCCCGTACTTGACAATGCCTTTTTAACCAATAGAGGTTGAAAAATCGTTTTGGCATAAGTAAGGTTCAATGTTCTTTAAGTTGTGCAAGTTTCATCACTGTAGCATATGTATGACCTATTTGCTGCCCATATAAGGAATGTGCTCCAAATGGCTACCATCTCTCTGCTGACAGACACGTAAACGCCCTTCCATATCATCTATAGTTTGAACTCTGCAATGGTTCCATGATTGTTGATATACACACTATACACATTATCTTTCAGGAGTCAATGAAAACACACGTGTTTTCAAAGAACATCGCACAAAGTGTGCAAGTCTGTCTTCGGAAAAGTGGTAGAAATTTGGGGCAGGTTCTTTAAATTGTCCATACATACGCTACAGTGATGAAGCTTTGTCAACACCAAACCATCTTTATTTATGTCATACTCTATTTGTTAAAAGGATATACATTGTTAGGTGAGGTGCATTTTTATGAGACACCCTGTATGTTTTTATTATAATTCTGATGGAATTAATGATATCTAGATGTACTATGCCTTCTTGTCATTCTAGATTTACGGTGTCTTTCTTTTATTTCTAGATGTACCGTGTCTTTCTTTTAATTCTAGATATACTGTGTCTTTCTTTAATTTTTTTGTCCACCGTGAGAGAGCAGTTTCAAATGTGAAATACACCGATTCCTAATAAAATTTTACAACTCGTCTTTAGAGGAAAAAATAAATACATTTAAGAGTATGATGCTCTTAGTGTTTTTATAAAAAAAAGTAGCATTTTCCCCCACGGCGGACAAATCTTTCGCCCCCATACCATTCCAAGGTAAAATTGTTCTGGTCAGCAAATTATTTTTTCAAAAGGTTTGCCTTTGTTTCGATGTCAGTTATAATTGCAACATCATTTTCTATGAAAAGTGCCCTTGAGGAATAACTTGGATGTGGTGTTTTGTGATTTTGTTACGTTGCAATAATTTAGTACCTGCATGCATTTCCTTTATTCAAAGTCAGGCTACATGGTATTTGCTTGGACAATCAGTTAATCTGGACGAAGAGTCTATTTAACTGGCCAGTAGTCAATATATCAATGCAAGTCATAATTGAAAAATTAATGAAACAATTTTACAGATTTTATACAAGTACATTACATATAGCGGCTCGCCCTGTACTGGTCACGAATAAAGGTTTACTGTTTCAGCAGGCGCACTAGAAAACAATAGTTTAATTCACTTGACTCTTGAGTATAATTGGCTCCCCTCTACCCCCGCAACCTTAATCTAAGCTGATCTCTGGAAGGTATATGTCCAATCCAGCCCTAAGGACGTGTAGGCAGCCATAAGGACACTCTTCATAACTTAATTTGAAAATTGGTTTCACGTTTCGGGATTGATCATCTCATCCCAATGTTAGCTTTAATCTTTGTAGTCTATTGTGTCAAAGTTAATTATCCCACCAAACTAAGTTCAAGAGGGATATTGAGATGCCGTCCGTCCGTCAGTTTGTTTGTCCTGCCGTTCGTTCGTTTGTCTGTCATAACTCAAATACTGATTGACGATCTGAGTTCAAAATTTATAAGCTAATGCCTTATCTTATTATGCTCGAGAAGGAATTTTCAATATAGCCGCTCAATTAAAAATGGCCGCCACTTTTTTAAAAATGTAAGCGTTGATAACTCAAAAACTAATGAGCAGATCTAGTTCAAATTAAGTCGCTTAATTCAAAGCAAGGATTGTCCTCCAGAAGAACTTTTAAGATAGCTGCTGAATCCAAAACAACGTCATTTTACATAAATATGTAAAAAAAAATTAAACTCAAATACCAGTTGTCAGGTTTGGTTCAGACTTCTTGAGCTGATGCCTTATAATAGGCATAGGACTCTGTTTAAGAAGTTAAGAGGGGATTTTCAAGATGGCTGTAAATTACTAAATTTAAAAATGGCTGCCTCTTTTTAGGAGAAATATTTTTATGATAACGCAAATATCGGTATCATGTTTTGGTCAGAATGTTAAAGGCTAATGCCCTCATGACCATGACCATCTTACACTTATTTGTTTTCACTGTATAGTCTCAACAATTTCGTGTCCACTGATATTTTCTCCGCAGTGGAATTGGCGACCTACATATTTATCGATGGGGGGGGGGGGGGGATCTGCAGAATAACAAAGGGGGCCGGGGGCGGCAAATTTCAAATCTGAACGTTTTTTCGACGATTGCTCTGAAACCTTGATGGGCCTCCAAAATCAAAAGTTGGGCCTTAATTTTGAAAATGTAAAAATGAAATATGCCCTCCCCCTAATCCGCCAGTGTTTACTTAACTCTTTTGAATTCGAACTGGAAGTCATAAATTCGAAATTCCCCAAAAATTGATCCATCAAAAAATGCAATGAGTTCTCTCGGGTGCTATATAACAAATAGACTGTGGACTACTCTGATAATTGCAACTTCTACTTTTCATGGAAGGTCACACATTCCATCATATTTCAAACAGTCTGTATGGTTATGCTGGGCACTTTCTGGGTAGTTGGACTTCATGTAGGGGTGGCAGACGGCCGTCAGGCCAATTCATATCCCCACCCCAAGAAAACCTTGGGGGTACTTTAATACCACCTGAAAAAAAGAATACTAATGCATGTTATACATTCATAGTTTTATAGTAGGCAGGGCATACCATGGTTAGTCAGTGCCAGGAATGTCCAATCTCTAACTTATATCGTTACCATGGAAACAGTATTTATATCTCAAAATCTTCTCAATTTGACCTCCGACAAAATATGTCCCTTAGCCCTCAAAGTGAAATATTTGCAAATATGTTTGGATTTTGTGGATATCACTTTGTCAAAAGTTGTATAAATATGTACATATTCACACTAAAGCACTAAAAAGTTGATACAATGCTCCAATAAATCAATAATATTAAACAAATATAGTCACACACAACTACTTTTAGGGAAAAGTGGGCGTGGCACTTTTTGGTGCTTGTGTAATTGTTGCAGCATTAAGCGAAAAATACATATTACACTAACAATAATTGACATTTAATTATCATTTACTAACATTGTGTAACATTGTAATATGTTCATTATCATTATTAGATACTTGGGATATTTTATGTAAGTGTTATCATGAACTTTCCCTTTATCCCTATACCATACAGGGTGTGCATCACCAATGGTGTCAAACTAACTTATTTTTTACCATAGACAAGGGGAAAAGCTTTACTTGAAGTAGTGACCTCATTAGGTGCTATGTATATGGATAGATGGATTGATACTAGTCGGTAGATGGCAGCACTTGTGCTAGTTGGGCTAGATACTATGTATTTACCATTGACTTGACATATGTCACTTAGTCTATTGATTTACCATAATCGTTCTGTTGGATTAAAGTAAAACTGCATTTGCATTGAATTTGATGATGTTCAGATTGTGTTTGAAACTTGATGATAATCAGAAGTGTTTGAAACTGGAGGTTGTTCTGATTGTGTATACATGAACTTTAAAAGGACCACTGACTGAAACAATAAGTCAATGTTTGAGATTCTTTAAAATTATCTCAATGAAAATTTAGCCTGTTAACCTAAAGTTAAACTATACTTCAGCAAGATTTTTAAGCTATATAGCAGATCTCATCATTTGCAACTTTTTCATTATTTGATAATTTAACCCATTATTCATAATTGCAAGGAATTCAAATGACCTAGGGAAGCCAGTGATATGAATTGGCCTAATTCATTGAGTTACATTAAAATGGAAAATTGTGAAGAACAAGAGAACTGTTCCACAGCTTCACAGGAAATATGGAAGCAAAGTCAACAAGGGATGTGGGAACTAGGTTGTTAACATATAGAGATTTAGAACTCTCCAAGGAAATGTCACTATTTGGTATAAAATACACAGGTCTATGCATGCACACCATTTTAAATATGAATCAAAATTAGTGATACCCATGTTTCTGGTGAAAGCATCAATTGAAAGAGACAAACATCCTACCCTCCTATGGTATCAAATATAAGAAGGTTCGAAGCAGTAAAAAGGTATTACCATTTTAGATTTGATTGAACAAATTGAATCAGAGGCAATTTTTAAATTTCGATATATTAAAAGAGGCTCTCTTGGTTAGATGGGAGAATTAGCTGCATGTTAAAGGTGCCGCTTTGTTCAGTTTATAACAAAATTGATATTAAAGTGATATAGCCTT